ATTTCATTATGTATTTTATCAAATCACATACGTTTGTAAGAAACTATTTAATTGTAATTATAGTAATATAATGTACCACATGCTGATCAGAGGGATGTAATGCCAGAGTAAAGTAAAGCCAAACTTACACAACAGTGTTCAGATCATCCTTTTTTCCTGACAAAATCAATATAATGCAATATTTCTATCTGCTGAATGTAAGCTTTTCCATATTCCAAGCTTGCCTGCTGCACTAGGGGCATCACATGCATGTGCGAGTTGTGAAAATTATGGAAATAAATCTAGGAATTATTTGATTGTTGGATTTTAAATTAGCGGGGTTGAGGCATCAAAAGTAACTAAGTAACTAAGCTGTTTTATGGATGGTAACTGTAATATTATTACCGAAATCTTATTAGTAATTAGTTACACTACTGGTTACTGCAAAAAGTAATATTATTACAGTAACTAAGCTACTAGTAACTAGTTACTGCCCAACACTGTTCGAAAGTGATCAATTTAATGTTGAAAGCGCACTATGTAGATTTTGCAGCTCTTCTACCGAGAAATACTAGATAAACATTAAGTATTATATTAAATATTAATTATTATTATATTAAATATTACATTATTATTAAAACCCTCATCCGTCCCTCCTGAACCTATAACAAAAGTGTCCCTCGCGGGTCAAAATGACCCGAAGGCCAAAAATGACACTAATTTTATTTTTGGTCCAGAAAGCTTATATTGGCCCATTTTTATATATATTTTTTCAAATTTTTTATGTAGTTTTAAAAAAAAAAATTTGGTGATTTTTATTTTATTCACATTAAATTCTGGATATTTTTATGAAAATTAGCATATTTTTATACATTTTTTCACCAAAAAAACAAAACAAAGAAAGACAATTTCTGTATTTATACCTTAAACATGATAATTTATTATATTAAATATTACATTATTATTAAAACCCTCATCCGTCCCTCCTGAACCTATAACAAAAGTGTCCCTCGCGGGTCAAAATGACCCGAAGGCCAAAAATGACACTAATTTTATTTTTGGTCCAGAAAGCTTATATTGGCCCATTTTTATATATATTTTTTCTAATTTTTTATGTAGTTTAAAAAAAAAAAATTTGGTGATTTTTATTTTATTCACATTAAATTCTGGATATTTTTTATGAAAATTAGCATATTTTTATACATTTTTTCACCAAAAAAACAAAACAAAGAAAGACAATTTCTGTATTTATACCTTAAACATGATAATCCATCAGGACCTAGGTCAATATATCTCAAGGCTTTCAGATATATATCAAAACATAAAAAAAAAATGAAATTGATACTGAATTTTAATCCAAACATGCATATTCATACAGTTACATAAATATGTAATAAATATAAAAGATAAATTTAAAAATATAAATATGATATAAACTCATTGGTCTCCACCCCATCACTCAAATTGAACTGTGTTAAGTAAAAAAAAAATTTCAAAATGACAGTCGTTTCCCAGCAGAAACATCATAAATGCTGTAATGTGTTTCAATGGGAGTGTGTGTGCTATGTGTGTGTTTGTGTGTGGGTGTGTGTGCCTGTGTGTGTGGGTATGCGAGTTTTTTGTGCATTGGGGACATTCTGCAGTCTCAGCCCTTTGTTTGGGTATGCATCTTTTCTGGATTGTGTCAGATTTTATATAGTAAAAAAATTCAAATAAATAAAAAAAATGCTGTTTTTTTCGGACATTCCATTCATTCATATGGCCGGGTCAAAATGACCCGAGAGGGACACTTTTGTTACTTTTTTTATTATACCCACATAGAATCCTCCAATCGACTCAAATTTGTGTGTGTGTGCTCCATGCTCAAGTGTGACAAAATTAAATAAAAAAAATCCGCAGTTTTTTCGTAAATTCCATGCTTTTCTAGTGGCGGGTCAAAATGACCTGCGAGGGACACTTTTGATACTTTTTTTATAGCACCCACTTAAACTGCTCGAATTCACTCGAATTTCTTTTCATGTATTCCTGGTTCCCTAACCCTAACCCTAACCCTAACCCTAACCCTAACGATCAACGCTCGATTTTTAAAAAATCTTTAAAAATGAGTTTTGGGTCAAAATGACCCGAGGGACGGATGAGGGTTAAGTCACTCCCGTCTGAAATCTTTAAGTATTATTTGGTGCAAAAAATAAGAATAAAAAAATCTGGAATTTTGTTGTATTTAGTTGATAATTATTTATTATAATATTTTGTACTCCTTGATATGGTGGTTTTGTGTTTATAAGTATATTATACACACATACATACTTTTCTATCTATTTTTAATTTTGTGTCTAAGCACCTGTAATATGTTGAGTGCAATTTTAATGCCATCTTGTAATACTTTTGGTTTTGTTAATTTTATAAAAGTCAATTTTATAGATAGCCAATGCTTCTGAACGTTGTTCCTAATTGATAAAACTTACATTTCTGATGTTTGATATTAATTTATTGTAATTTGATGGTCTGATGGTCTTGATCATTACTAACAATAACACTTTTTTTCCCAGCCATCCTTTTTTTTTTTTTTTTTTTTTTTTTTAGTATAGTCATTCTTGTTTTACTTACATCTAGAAGAAGGTGCCTAACCTGAACGGATCACAGAATATGGCATCCCAGACTTTGACCGTATTGCACCATTTATCAACAGAATGATTAAACCAAGTTATTAGAGGCTGAGAACATTTTCTCAATATGAGCCCAGTATTTCTTTGACTATGTGCCATTGTTATTTCATCACAATAGCACATCAATTCACTTTTAGAGCCTGTGATGTAAGACTGATTACACTCTTGGTTTAACTCAGACTAAACATACTTTCACGATGTTATACTTCCTACATGTATCCTATAGTGCTGATTAATTAGTTAAAATAATTACCAAAATTTGACAGACCACATCCTTTTCAGGCCTATTCTAAATATCCAATCATTGCTACATCCTCTGCAAGGAGATTGCATGATAATTATATTGAGGAAATATTCTGTAGAAGAAAATGTGTACTTCCTTACATATTATAAGTACAAATATATCACATAAAATACATTCATTTAAATGAAATGTGACTGTTAAGTTTAAAAATCAGACTAAAATTACAAAACAATTCTAAGGTTTATCAGTAGATTCTGATATTCGTGGAATAACACGGGCCCCTACGGATAAGACGGCGACAGCAGTGGTGTTCCTTGATGACTGGTGAGCCAAGTAAACACCAAAAGTCACCTAAAAGGAAAGAGCAGAGGAGAAAAGAGAAGTTATGTGTTTTATAATTCATATATTGGAAATGCAATTTCTGTCTTCTTGTAAAAGCAATCAAAGGAAGAAAACACAAATAAGGAGTTCTGTTTTTACAGACCTTTCCACTTCTGCATTCAGAAAGAGACCGAAGGGGTTCCTGGGTTCTAGCGGCTGATTTTTGATCAACTCCAATCATCTGACAGCGGCCACATCTCCCAATCACCTTAAACAAAACATCAAGAAAAGACCTGAACATCTGGTTCAATTCCAGCTGATTATGATGTGCCAGCTGTTTCCTCTAACCTGAAACGGTGTGTCTCCTACTGTCAAGTGAGTCCAGTCGTCTTCTGCAAACGCCTCCTGTCCTGAGATGACCAGATTTGCCCTGAAACGCTGAATGAGCTGCTCCATGTCATGCCATGTTCCCTCATTCTCACTATCGTGTCTTAAACATGCCAAATATAACAACAACATTACAAAATAATGAAGTACTTTATGTACGCAGAGTACTGGCTGAAAGAATTGTAAAAAGACGATTTAAAAGTCATCTAATATGCATCTAATAGATAATCACATTTGGGTATCCTACTAAATAAACAGCACTTTCTTGAAGAAGAAGGTAGTGTATTGTTCATTTGTAGCTGGCATGACTATACCTGTTGGCAATGTGTTCTTGCAGAAAAGACACGCTAGCTCTGTTAATAAGCAGAAACTGAGCCTCATTCACCAGAGAGAGAGCAGTGGGACCAAAATTCTCAGCTGGACAGGAAGACATCACTAAGGTAAATTGCTTCTCATTATAGGGACGTATAGAAACAAATGAAATAATTGACATAGAGTGCAAGAGCAGAGCTATATAATGAATGTGGATAGCACAGCTATGATCATTTGGTCTCACAAGAATATTATTAAAGTTTATTTTAACATTGTCTATTCATAATACAGTGAAACTAATATGAATCAAAGCATTAACAATGCTAATATTCACGTGCCTCTGGCCTAATCACAGCCATGCTGATATAGAGCCGGTATCGCTCTCGTACTCGAGTGATATTGCTCATATATATATATATATATTTATTTTTTTTTGGTGGGCTTGTATTTTATCTTCATACCTGTCACCGCAAACTTTGCTCTGGGATGTTCTTAGATCTGAATTCAC